CAATAGTACTAAAAGTATTATTTGAATTTTTATACAAAAGATATAATATTATTAAATCGAAATAATTAAAAATAATGTGTCCACATTACAAAAGATTTTATAATAGTAATTTTTATTGCATAATAGAATTTGGAAATTATTAAACATTGTTTACAATTATTAAACATTATTTATGGTAATTATTGTATGACATTTAATACTAAAATTATTAGGTAGAATTTTTATAATTAAGGTATAATATTCTTAAGGTACAATATTGCTTGTATATGGTTTACCCGTATTAACCATCATTATATTAAATTAATATATAATTCTTTTAATATAATATATTATTAAATCTAAACATATGATTAATATTTATTCAATATTATTACGGAAGTATTAGAATTATAAATTTTACTCCGTATTAAATTTTAAATGGCTTAGCATATCGAAGCAAACATGGTAAGTCAATAACATTATTTTACATTAGTAAAGTGATTTTATATCAAGGAATGTCAGATGAAGAATAAAATCAAAATAATACTCTATTGAAAAAAAGCCACAGTACTTAATCATTTTTTTTCCTAAAAAAAAAAAATTAAATGGCAAGAAAAACGTCTTGAAGGGAGAGACAAACTACTCTCTTATTACAAAAAATGTACACTTTAAAAACAGAGAAATTGAATCGAAACAAAGTCCAATGCTTTGATATATTGACAACTAAAAAATGCTTTTAATTTCATTTTGGTTTTTATTGTATTCTTAGTATGCTTCCCTCTGTAAGTCTATATCTATTTACATATACACATAATTCGTCCCTCGATCACAAAACTTTATCATCTTGATAAGAAAGGAACTCTATTGCTTCCCGATCAATCTTTCTAGATCCGTATCTTCTCCACAAAAATAGACAAACAAAAAATATATATATCAACATTTTTTCTTATGAACCACTTTTGTTGTTTAAAAACCATAAAATACAAAAAAATAAAAACAAAACAAAACCCAAAAAGAAGAAAAAATAAAAGAAACTAAGATGATGAAAACCTCACCAATGCAAATCACGTATCAACCTCAACTGTGGAAGATTACAGGATGATTAGAAGTCTATTGCTTCCCGATCAATCTTTCTAGATCCGTATCTTCTCCACAAAAATAGACCAAAAAAAAAAAGAATATATCAACATTTTTTCTTACGAACCACTTTTGTTGTTTAAAAATCAGAAAATACAAAAAAATAAAAACAGAACAAAACCCAAAAAGAAGAAAAAATAAAAGAAACTAAGAATGAAAACATCACCCGTGCAAATCACGTATCAACCTCAACTGTGGAAGATCACAGGATGATTAGCAAAAATCAATGAAATAATTAACCTTAGTTGGGGTTGTGTATGGTCATATAAGGTGTATTTATACACAATGGATGAGATCAAAAGGGTTTAGTATTGAAATTATAAAATGGTAAGAGATCTCAAGAAAGGTAAAATCTTTAATATTATTGAAATGCCATATTTGTCTAAATATTTGATATTACAAAAATGCCTCTAAGTTTTGGGGGGAAAACTTGGCTAGGAGGATTTTACTTTTATATATATATAGATAGATAGATTAAAAAATAAAATTAAAGAAAATTATAAACAAATCTAATATTTGAGAGTATATATTTATTTGAAATTATAAGATTTGTATATTAGTGTTGAAATTGATTACTTAAAAATTATATTAGGAAAAATCTAAACAAAAAATAGAAGGAAGATCATGGCTAATTGATATTATTTTAAGTAACAAAAATGGGCAAATACCAATTTTGGTCCCACGAGTATTAGCAAAATGACACAACAGTCTCCTAACCTTTTGGAAATTGAAATCAACAAGTCCGGTGAGGCTTAGGGAGAGCCTTTTTGGTCCACATATTTAATTCCTACCAATTTTCATCCAGGACTATTGTTTTAGTTAGTACCAATTTTCATTCATGACTATTGTTTTAGTGCAAAAATTCATTCCGCTGGTCACCTCTTCGTTTAAGATATGCCGACATATGAAATTATTAGAGGTATTCTTGGTTTTTTTCAAATTAAGATCACAAATTGAACATGAACAAAGGAAATTAAACCCTAAAATTTATCAAATTCGTAATTCTCATTGTCAAATTAAGATAGGATGATGGAGAAAACTGTTAATTGGTATTAAAATAATAGTCGCAATCATATTTCATTTAAAAATAACTTTTTTTTTTTAAGAAAGGGAGGGGATAACCCAAGATCACTAGTTGATCCTCACTATGTTCATGGCACCAAAGAGACCAAGCTCATCTTCTCGCAATTGTCTCCTTATACTCTTTGAAGTCAAGCTGAAGTTCTAAATTCTCTCATTCTTCTATAAGGCTCCCTCTTGCAATAATAGAAAGAACATCAACCAAATTTAAAAATAACTTGTAAAAAATATTATTATATACACAAGAGTTAAAATTCTTAATAATACAAAGAACCTCAACCAAATTAATCGAACAATTTAATAACTATAAATATTTAAGTTTGACTTTCCTACAAAGCAGCTTAGAGTTTTCTCATCACCATCCATAATGTATCTTATTTGTAAAAGAGTAAATACCCAAAATAGTCCCTCGACTATAGCTAAATTCACAAATTGGTCATCGACTTTCAATTTCAACCAATTAAGTCCTTAACTTGGCAATTTTAACACAACTTGATCCTCTGTCTATTTGACCGTTTGTTGACTGTTATTTTTGAGGATATATATGTAATTTCATGGTCTATCGTCGGGTTTTTAAGGTTCCAGTTGCATTTCAAAACCACACTGTTAGATTTGAATCCACTGTCGAAAGCAATCTACCAAATCCGGTCGCCTTTCTTCATCCTCCCTTTGGATTCAATGTAGTTGAGTTCATACCAGAGCGAAGAAGACGACGTGTTTCTGAACCGGTGCAACGTCATCCTGGAGGCCTCCACGTGCTCCGACGAGAGCTGAAGGTTCTTCTAGAGATCGTCGATCACGGTCAACAAATAGTCAAATAGATGGAGGACCAAATAGTGTCAAAATTACAAAGTTAAGGACTTAATTGGTTAAAATTGAAAGTCGAGGACCAATTTGTGAATTTAGCTATAGTCGAGAGACCATTTTAAGTATTTACTCTTTGTAAAATGGTGTTGAGTATACCAAACAACAAAACCCCTCGAAAAAAAAGAAAAAAAAAAACCCTCCTGTGTAAAACGTAGTTGTTCCTGCCATCATTTTTCCTCTTTTGTTGTTTCTACTAGATTTCCTCTTTTTTTTTTTTTTTTTTTTTTTTTTTTTAATTTTTTGGGAGAGGGTTTGATTTTTTTAGATATCTCGAATTTGGGAAGAAAAAATGGAGAAAATGAGAAAACGATGGAGAAAGGGTTGAGGGAGAGAGTAATTTATTTTCGGGAGAGACAGCTCTCTTCGGAAAATGTGGAAAAAAGGTTGGGGGAAAGAGAAATTTATTTTTTGGGTTGACGGTTTTCTTTCGAAGATGCGAGAAAGGGTTGGAGGAGAGAGAAATTTATTTTCCGGATAGACGGCGGAAGATCTGGGAAAGGGTTGGGGAAGAGAAAATTTTATTTTTCGGAGAAACGGTTCTCTTCAGAATATGGGAGAAATGGCTGGGAAGGGGGATATTTATTTTCTAAAAAGACGGTTCTCTTCGGATAATAAATGCCCTAGGTGCATGGCACGTGCCACCACTAGCGTGTTTGCTTGCCGGCACGTGCCGGTTAGGTGTGTGACAATTGTCCTCCACCAATAACGTATTCCTTTTTAATATTATTTCTTCCTTTTTAAACACTCAACAATTACTTTTTATTTAACTAAGCTAGTAAATTACACGTATGATGCACGGATAAATTCTTTTTATTATATATTTAAAAATAAATAAAATTAAAGAAAATTATAAACAAATCTAATATTTGAGAGTATATATTTATTTGAAATTATAAGATTTGTATATTAGTGTTAAAATTGATTACTTAAAAATTATATTAGGAAAAGTCTAAACAAAAAATAGAAGGAAGAGCATGGCTAATTGATATTATTTTAAGTAACAAAAATGAGCAAATATCAATTTTGGTCCCACGAGTATTAACAAAATGACACCAAAGAGACAGTCTCCTAACCTTCTAGAAATTGAAATCAACAAGTCCGGTGAGGCCTAGGGAGAGCCTTTTTGGTCCACATGTTTAATCCATACTAATTTTCATCCACGACTATTGTTTTAGTACCAACTTTCATTCATGACTATTGTTTTAGTGCCAAAATTCATTAAACCCGTCACCCATTCGCTTAAGATATGCCAAAATGTAAAATTATTAGAGGTATTTTTGTCATTTTCAAATTAAGATCCCAAATTGAACATGAATAAAGGGATTTAAACCCTAAAATTTATTAAATTCGCAATTCTCCTTGTCAAATTAAGATAAGATGACGAGAGAAAGTGCGAATTGGTACTAAAATAATAGTCTTAATCATATATTCATATTCCATTTAAAAATAACTTCTTCTTCTTTATTTTTGAAAAAAAAAATAGTGGGGATAACCCAAGATTACTAGTTGATCCTCACTATGTTCATGGCACCAAAGAGACCAAGCTCATCTTCTCGCAATTGTCTCCTTATACTTTTTGAAGTTGAGCTAAAGTTCCGAATTCTTTCGTCTTGCTATAAGGCTCCTCTTGCAATAATGAAAAGAACATCAACCAAATTTAAAAATAACTTTTAAAAAATATTATTATATACACAAGAGTTAAAATTCTTAATAATACAAAGAACCTCAATCAAATTAATCAAACGATTAATTTAATAACTATAAATTTTTAAGTTTGAATTTCTTAAAAAGCAGCTTAGAGTTTTCTCATCACCACCCATAATGTATCTTATTTGTAAAATGGTGTTGAGTATACCAAACAACAAAACCCCTCAAAAATAAAAAAAAAATTTAAAAAAAAAAAACAAAACAAAACCCCTCCTGCCCCCATTGCAGTGTACTTGGACTCGGCAGCATGGAAACCAAACCCAAGCCTCAAGCTCCAAGAGCCCTGAAAGTCTCCAACAAGACCCCAGACACGACAAACAGCTAATGTCTACAAAGAGTCAATTCTTTTACTAAAAATCCGATTCTTCTTTAAACCTCTGTGTCGCGGTGTTTTGTCTCTTTGCCCTTTGTTTGCTTCTTCTTCCTTCATTCAATTCTCCCGTTTCCCTTTGGCCTTTTTAAGTTGGAGTAATCTCTCTGACGCAGGGACTTTCTGCAGGATTAGAAGCCTCTCATTCTTCTTGTCATTTTCTCCTCGACTAATTTCACTTGCACTTTAAAAGACTCCTTTTTTTTTTTTTTTCCTTCTTCTACTTAACCATTTTTCGTTCTCTGAAATTCGATCTTCTATTTCACCATGATGAACTGAGAAACAGAGGATAAAGGGGGAAAGGGGCTTTAATTTCCAACCGTGTGGGGCCCTCTCTCTCTCTCTCTCTCTCTCTCTCTCTCACAGAGACAGGGAGAGAGACAAACGGCGTTGATGTGACTTAGGTTGCTTAGAGCTGCCGGAAGTGGGAAGGAATGGTGAGGAAACATGGATGGCAGCTGCCGGCACACACCTTTCAGGTATGCCCTTTTTTGCTTTTTCCTCATTTCACCTTTTTAAAAAAATTAAAAATTGCTTCTTTATTGATTATAAGTTCTGTTCACTACAGTTCTTACAATTGCAAATCTAGTGCTTGTAATAACTACTGGAGGAATTATTGAGAATTTTCCAAAGGGAAATTACCCTCAACAAATTTATCCTTTTCTGCAAAATGGTTTAGTCTTGATTTTCTGCTGCCTGGTGGCTGAAGAGCATAGGAAAAACTATTGGATTAAGAGACGTTTAAGAAAGATGATAAGAAACAACTCTTCTAAAGAATGGAGCAGTTTGTAGTTATAGATATGATGGAGCTCTTTTGTGAGCTTAAAAGAATCGATTTTTTTCTGTATGGTTCTTTGACATGCTAAAAGACCAGATATTAACTCTGTGTCATTCCCTTACATATAACAGACGTCATGGCCTTCAGGGTTCTTATAATTTTATACCGTAGTTAGTTCATGAAGAGTGTTTGCCAATCGTTAGGGTTACAGAAAATATCAAGATGGTGTACCGTAGTTCTTTGAGTTCTTGGTGTTTTCAAATTTGTTCGTTTTTTAGTAGAAATTTCTAATTTTCGGGCTATGCTTTTTGTAGGTTGTTGCTATAACTGTCTTCTGCTTATTAGTGGTTGCGTTTTACACTTTCTTTGCTCCTTTCCTCGGTGGACGAATTTGGGAGTATGCTTTGCTTGGAGCTTATTCACCTGTGGTAAGTTATGTTAGATATAAATAATCTAACGATACATAATAATAATCTACGAGAAACCTAACCTCGTAGATCTCTAGCCACAGTTGATGTCTTTGTTGTATTGCCTCTTGAATGGTAGACCGTTAGCCATATATTTGTCTCATACTTGACTCAGAACCACAGATGGTGTATTGGTGTCTACTGAGCAATATGAGTACCGTAACTGAATGTGCAATACTGCAATATAATGAAAATCTTGTATCCCATCAATCCAGGTTTATATTAGGCATAGAGTCTGGTTGAATAACAACTTCTAGTTATTCAAAATGTAGAAGTTAATTAAGATAGCTGTTCTTCGAGGTGCTATTGTGGTATCAGGTGCATGAGAATTGATCTCCCTTGAGCTATTAATAGATATCTGATATCACCTGGTTAATTTGTTGCATGGTTACTATGTTGTTCTGTAATTCTAATAATATATTCTTTAGTGTTATTTATGAAACTCGAATATTTTATGAATTCGTGCCATTATTTTTCCTAATGACATTAATCCACGGTATCTGACTATCTGTCTCCTACTGCAGGCACTTCTTGTTTTTTTTCTTTATGTTCGCTGTACTGCAATTAACCCTGCCGATCCCGGTATAATGTCAAAGTTCGATTCTGATATATTGAGTAATACGAGCCCGAAACATGGATTATCTTCAAAAGGCCTTTCCAGAAGGTTTGATGAACCCGGTACTGGTGCACAGTCTTCTCCATCGTCAGTTTTACGAAGTCCGGTTTCCGCATCCAACTCTGGTAAGAGGAGTCAACTAGAGGCCGAGAGAACGGATGGTCGAGTGATTTCGTCTAGAAGAAAGTCGTCTTGTTCTAAGATTGGAGGATTCCTCTGTGTGCTGTTTGTACACCGGGATTGTCGGGGAGAGGATAGTGCGGTGTCTCAGCAGGAAGGTGCAGCCGAAGACGCTTTGTTCTGCACATTGTGCAATGCTGAGGTATTTAGTGCAGCGTTTACGCGATATTAATTCACGGTATTTGAAATTATGAATCCCTCTTTCAATTTTCTGTACTTGTGGCTTTTAGGTACGCAAGTTTAGCAAACATTGTAGAAGTTGCGACAAATGTGTGGATGGATTTGACCACCATTGCGGGGTACGTTTTTAGTTCTTCTATTTCTTGACACAGCCCCCGGATTTCTATTTCTATCGAGGAAGCTAATTAAGTTTTGTTGGATGTTGTAGTGGCTCAATAATTGTATCGGACGAAAAAACTACGTTACCTTTATATCCTTTATGGCCACCAGTCTTGTCTGGGTATGTTTGGACTTTGGAGGCAAAGGTTATTATTATTAAAAGCGGATTTTTTATGTGCCCGACTTGCTGATTTCCTATACCTCTCCCTCTCGCAGCTTGCTATTGAAGCTGCAGTAGGGATTGCGGTTTTCGTGCGGTGCTTTGTGAGTAAGAGGAAGATTGAGGCCGAAATAGTTGATAGACTAGGGAATGGTTTCTCTCGGGCCCCGTTTGCGTCTGTCGTGGTAATTTCTGTCACAGACATCTCTTATAAAGCCTTCCAGTTTATGATGAGCTGGGACTATCGACTATCAACTATTAAATATTCATAATGTTTTCGTTTTCTTTGAAAATTTTTGTGCAGGCTGTTTGCACAGTGCTTTCGTTATTGGCTTGTGTGCCGTTGGGCGAACTTTTCTTTTTCCACATGATACTGATTAGAAAGGTAGCGAGCTTATTGTTTATTACCATTAAATCATTAATTAGAAAGGTAGCGAGTTTTGGATTAGCAACTTTCTGAAGAGTCATTCATTCAGTCTTATTCGAGAATCGAGAGTTGGCCTTGTTGTTTTAGGGTCTTACGACTTATGAGTACGTTGTTGCGATGAGGGCAATGAGTGATGGTGCAGCGGGAGAATCTGTAGACGAGGAACCGGGAGTCATTCTATACTCTCCATCGGGGTCCGCTACGACTGGACTCAGCGGGGGAAGTTCTCTAGGCTTGCAGTATAAAGGAGCGTGGTGCACCCCTCCTCGGGTGTTTGTTGACTATCAGGTAATCACTCTAGTTTTCCTTTTTGACAGGCTCCAAGCAACATGTGGACCATAGTCTCTTTTTCTATCGAACTCATACCTTTGGTATGGAGTTGCTCTGATACCAAATTGAAGTATGTGCTACATCTCAACTAAAAGTCTAAGCTGATAGTTAGATTGCAAATTTATGTTTATATATTATATGCTCAACACGGTGAATACTCTGTAACTGCAGTACCAATCGTCGTTCTTAAATTAATTTTTTTTTTTCTCCACATGAATGATCGCGGTCAGGAAGAAGTTGCACCTCAACTGGAACCGGGAATGGTTCCATCGACAGTTGATCCGGATGCTATTGGCTCGGGGGAAAAGGGTAACAAGGCACCTAAACGAGCTGTTAAAATCAGTGCATGGAAGCTGGCTAGATTAGATTCCAGTGAGGCCATGAAAGCAGCAGCTAAAGCTCGAGAATCTTCATCTGTCTTACGTCCTATCGATAACCATCACTCGTTGGATCCTGATTTGAGCACAAGCGAGAACACGAGCGTGAGGAGCAGTATGAGCGCTGATACGATTGGAAATAAAGAAACGAGAAATGAACTGCGAATTTCTCCTTTGTGTGCCCCGAGTCAAGGCAGCCGGGACGAGTATGAAACCGGCACCCAAAGTATGAGTAGCTTTAGCAGCCCTAGCCACGCTCACGGGCCAGTCACCTTAACAGCGATCCCACCCGCTCAAGGTTTCCCCCGACCCGATGCCACGACTTCGGTACTCCGCCTTCTGTCAGAGCAGGCGAGCGGTCCTGGAACTGCATCGTCTAATAGCGCCACCGATCCATTACTGCTTTCTGCTGCCGCTCCAGCAGCTTCTCTCCTCAGAGACATCAAACGAACGTCTGTCGTCTGGGACCAGGAAGCCGGGAGGTATGTCTCGGTTCCATTATCAGCTGCAGAAGCTCGCAACAGACCAGCTCCGCGAGGAGGAATCTCGAACCCGAATGCAGGACCTACGCCTCTGCCTCGAGAACCCTCCAAGCCTGCAGCAAAGCATCCGGTTCAGCAGTCGGAGAAGCTAACATACACAGGGGAGTCCATCTTTTTTGGCGGGCCACTTTTTCGCGGTCCTGAGGGTTCGAGAAATGGACAAGAGAGGCTACTGACAAACGTTGCTCGGGAATCTAGATTTAAGCGAGATGCTACGTCGTTGCACCAGCTCCCCGTTTTTGTTCCCGGAGATCATCTAGAGCCAAATGTTTCGTCGAGATCAGGCCTCAGGTAATTCTTGTATTTGATCATCCAGGCAGCAGAGCAGCATAAAGAAGCTAGAGATCATTAATTTGCAACAGAGAGACCTGGTTCCTGGCTTCCAAGAGTTTCTTCTTCCATTGATTTGCTAACATGTAACACGCTTGTAAATCGTAGCAGAAGACAAGATGAACGTTGAGAATCTGAGATCAGAACCATTTTTCTCTATGATTTAGCTTTATTTTTCAGTAACATATCCACATGTGCCACATATCATGTGTAGCCCTCATGGCATTGGTCTAGTGAATGAAAAGTCTCACTTAAGACTTATTTCCAGCATCACAATTACGGTTTAATTTATGTTATGAATATTGGCGGTTTGGGTTTGAATTGGACTTTCTTGTGTGCAAAAGTCTACACTTTAGTGTTTGGTGTTAGGTTTTAAAGCTATATTAACTCGACTTACTTTTTTATGGGCATGGAGGTGAGTTTATACGGTTCAGAATATAATTCGATAAAACCAAGAAACTTAAGTTATCCAAAAAGAAGTGCAAATAGTTGGATCACGGCCGGTTAAACCAATTACGATATTCGTAGTGTTCAATTGATCAATTAAATCAGTATCTTACCAACTTGGTTGGGATGGTTCATGATACAATCAATCAAATACTAATTATAGCATATACTATAATAAGCTTTGGGGCGAGTTTATGGGGTCCATGATATAATATACTCATTCTGTCTCATTTTATCTGTCCACTCCAGTTAGGTTAACTAGACACATAAAGTGAGACGAGGGGAGTAATAAGTAAAGTCGGAAAACTCGAGTTATTAAAAAAGTGAGAAAAAAATTCCATAATTTTAATGAACGTGTAATCCGCAGTATTGTTAGAAATGTAGGGGGAGATCTCTCTCCATCTCTGAAAATGTAGACAGTACTACGTGAAGAATCAGACAATGAATACTAGTTCAGACAACAGTTTTGGGCCACGTGGCTCATCCCAGTTTATCTTCCATCTACCGCGGAATACATCTTTCTCCATTACACAAACGCAAAAAACTGTGTCAGAAACAAATAGGCTGAGATTTCTTTTCTCTGCAACGATATTATACAACTAACCTTTGTATCTCTTTTGGGTTTGTATACAATAAGCAGCAGTTGAAGAAAAGGAGGCAATGGCCATGATCAATCGTCTGCTTCGCTCCACCTTCATCATCGCCGCCAATCAGGTCTTATGTTTCCACTTTTCACACGTACCCACACACTGTAAAAAGTATTGTATGCATGAAACTGATGAAAAGTAATCAGCTTTCTCACTTTCTTGCCCACAAAAGGCGAAATCTTTCGTCCCCGGAACCCACATTCTGTGGAGGGATAAATCTCAGTGATTAACTGGGAAAGCTCCCATGGCATAGAACGGTTTATGGGGATTCTTAAAATTGGGAAAGCTCCCTCTAATGGCATGTTTTCTATCACCATTTTGGGAATTTTTAATTGGATTTTTTTGTCTGTGAATTTAATTGATAATTGGGGGCATGTCAGCTTGAGCAAAGGTGATCCTCTTTTAATCAAGATCAGTTAATGTTGTCTGTCTTTGGGAGACTGATGTTTGTGAATTGTTGATTTAATTATCATTTTATATTGAGACATTATGATTTCTATGATCTTTTAGTAATTCATTTACAGCATCTCCCAGCAGGTTGGTTCTCATGTAGAGCATCTTCCGGAAGTTATCGGTTCATGTAAATCATTAACTCATATGCCTGCACCAGTTAGATGGATTAGTACCGTTTCAACTACTGATGATAAAGGGTGATATGTTATGTCTCTATTCTTGCCATACAGTTTACACACACACACACACACACACACACGCTTAAATTTGATGTTTAAAGGTTGTAGACTAACTTGTAATGAATAATGATAACCTTATTTTCGGTTTTAGTGGTCATGATATGTTGGCACCCTTCACGGCTGGGTGGCAGACAACTAAGCTGGATCCCTTATTAATAGTGAGGTCTGAGGTAGGGATGTGGGTGATGTTCTTGCTTAAAACGGTTTTTCATTTGGTCTGTCAAACGAACTAATTCTCTGCTGGAATTTCTACAGGGATCTTACGTTTATGATGTACAAGGGAGGAAATATCTTGACACCCTTGCTGGTTTATGGTCCACAGCTTTAGGTATATAGTATATACTAGCCCCTTATGCAACTTCTAGATATATAAGCATTAGGCATGGTGCATTTGTGTTGATAATCTCGTAAGAATTGTGAATACTGGGCTTCAGTTTGCACCAATTCGTTCCAAATTTGCAGGGGGGAGTGAGCCTCGTCTCGTAGCAGCTGCTACCAAACAGCTGAATACATTGCCATTTTACCATTCGTTTTGGAACCGCACAACAAAGCCTTCTTTGGTATGAGAAAATTAGGAATCTTCTGTTGATATGCGCATCCCTTTTCTGTAATTGTTGCTGGAATCTCGAATCTTGTTTTTGCTTGGAACATATATACAGGACCTTGCTAAGGAACTTCTGAACACGTTTACTGCAAAGAAAATGGCGAAAGTGTTTTTCACAAGTAGTGGATCAGAAGCCAATGATACCCAGGTCTGAAGCCAATCAATAGCGCTTTGGAACTTATGATGAATGGTATAATCACGTAATGGCTGACCAAATACGTGTAATTTCACATTGTACCTGCAGGTGAAGCTGGTATGGTATTATAACAATGCACTTGGAAGGCCAAACAAGAAGAAATTTATTGCTCGAAAGAAATCGTAATATGGATCTTTCCTTGATCTTTCTTGGATTTTCTTTTATCTGATTTACTCCCCCATGATTCTTTTATCCATTGTGGCAGATACCATGGTTCAACTCTTATCTCAGCTAGCCTTACCGGGTAATTAACATTCCTTTTCATGATCAATATATATTTACTGCTAAAATCTTGTTTAGTCTAAACGTTTTGTAATACATATATATAGCCTTCCAGCACTACATCAAGAATTCGATCTGCCAGCCCCATTTGTATTGCATACTGATTGCCCTCACTATTGGCGTTATCATCTACCAGGTTTTAGTTTAATTTTTCATTATGGTTTCGATTGCTTGCATAATGCATTGAACTACTGATTGAAAATATCGATTTTTTTAAATTTTTTTTCCCTCTGTCAAGGTGAGACTGAAGAGGATTTCTCGACCAGGTTGGCAAATAACTTAGAGAATCTTATCCTCAAAGAAGGACCAGAAACGGTAGCTTCTGCATCATAACCATTTCACTTTGATTATAATCATACTTATTGGTCCATCAAATACAGTGGCAATATACACTGCTGGAAATTATGGAATTTCCGACCACCTGAAAGTGATCTTACATCAAGTCGAAAGTAAAAAGTGGTCGGAAATATCAACAAAGGTTTTTCCGGATACCAAAAGTGGTCGGAACAAGGCTTTCAATTTGATTTAAGATCACTTTCAGGTGGTCGGAAATTTCATAATTTCCAGCAGTGATAATCCTGCAACTTATCAACTTATGTTTTGCGATTTTCGTTTTTAAATATTAGATAGCGGCCTTCATAGCAGAGCCAGTCATGGCAGCAGGGGGTGTGATCGTTCCCCCAGCAACCTATTTCGAGAAGGTGAGGCGTCTTCTGTTGAAATCGTGAGTGCTTCTACTGAACTTAACCGTACTCTTCACCTTGTGCAGGTTCAAGCTGTGCTTAAGCGGTATGACATTCTTTTGATCGTGGACGAGGTGGTCACTGGATTTGGTAGGCTTGGAACGTGGTTTGGGAGCGACAAATATAATATCAAGCCCGACCTCGTCACCCTGGCAAAGGTAGTCCACATCATTCAGTGAGACATTTCGTTTTAATTTCATCATTTCAATGGATGCTGCTTGAGTTTTCTTGTGATTCCAGGCTCTCTCTTCTGCATATATGCCAATTGGAGCTATTCTAGTAAGCCCTGAAATTTCTGGTGTCATACATTCCCAAAGCAATAAACTAGGTAGGAAGTTTCTTGCATGTTTTACTAGGTTCTTTCTCTGTGATATTGAAGTTTCTTGCATGTTTTACTAGGTTCTTTCTCCCATGGTTTTACTTATTCTGGGCACCCTGTAGCATGTGCTGTTGCATTGGAAGCAGTCAGGATCTACAAGTATGTACACTTATTTCCTAATTCAGATAACCCTTTACTTCAATGGTTCAATAGGTAGTATTTGAAAGAAGAGACCAAGGTCCGAACCTCGACGGAGGCAGTCTGGGATTATGCCCAAAGTGGGCAAATCCTTGTGCACACTGACATTTGGCCCTGTCTGCTAAGCCATTGGGTCACTGTGATTTACATAAATAATAAGGTATTTATGTAACAACAGCTAGCTAGCTAGCCAAAGAACAGGGGACAACCCCAACTGAGTTGGTAGGACAGCTAGTTTGGTAACAACCAATTAGGCTGGTTTACCTCCTTGACTCTTTGTGGTCCTTTGTTGGTTAGGGTGGCCTTCTTGGTTGCCGGTCAATTACTCACAATTATGGGTAATATAGGTTGATTTACCTCTTTGTGGTCCTTTACTAACTAGAGTTACAAGACGAGCTTCACCCAAAATGCACCTTTCGAGTCCTTTGCTAACTAAAGTTACAAGACGAGTTTCACCCTAAACGCACCTTCGGGTAGCGGTTGAATCTGATCAAGAAAGGTCATGTGTTGTCATGGAACATTGGAACCAAAAAGAGAGAAGAATCTAGCAAATTCAGCTAATGATATTGCTATTGTGTGTGTTTTAGGGAGAGAAATATAGTGGAGCAAGTTAACAAAATTGCGCCAAAATTCCAAGATGGTTTAAAAGCCTTTGCTAACAGTCCCATCATCGGAGAGGTACATACATAGTATCTCTGGTTTTTTTCCTTTCATCTGCTTCACAAAACATCCTAAATTGTTGTCGTCTAACAATCCTTTCCACTTCCAAACATGTAGATCCGTGGAACTGGCATGATTCTTTCGACAGAATTCGCTGACAGCAAGTCTGCAGACGATACTTTCCCTCCCGAATGGGGTACGTACGACATAACCTTTCACACGAGTCTGACTCTAATACATACCCAATAACGAGTTTCGTCTCAACTAAAAACACGATTTTCCCAGGTATTGGTGCATACTTTGGATTGCAGTGCCAGAAAAATGGGATGTTGGTTCGCGTAGCTGGTGATGCTATAATGATGTCTCCTCCACTAATAATCACTCCCCAAGAAGTTGACGAGGTATATATATTTGCATATATTTCGGGTATCAACCTTAACTAGATCGAAGCATTCTTGTGCATGAGTTTTGCTTTGTCTGCTTCTTGAAATTTCATGTATGTTACGTTCTATCTTTTTTGTTTCCAGTTGATCAGTATATATCAGAAGGCTTTGCAGGAGACTGAGAAGAGAGTAAAAGAGCTCAAGTCCCAGAAGAAGTAAAGTTGACGGCGTTAAAATTTTCTGGCCATGCAACGCAAATTGTTGGCCTTTTCGTTAACATTAAGGTTTAATGAATAGGATTTTCAGTATAATGATATGATATTAATGTTAAATAACAATAATATATGATGTAATAAGATTGAATGATGGAAAGGCTTTGCCAATTGGTTGACCATCTGGATTATTCTGGAACAATTTCACCATATATATAGTCAAACTGTGCAAACGCTATCGGTCAACCGCTGGTCCCCGGCAATAGAATATTATTCAAAGAAAATAAAATGTCGACCGGTAGTTTTCAAAAAATGTCGACCGGTACTGGTCAACGTTATTTTTGACGGCCGGCGATTTAGTCAAAACCGAATGTAGCCCCCACTGAAATGGCATCTGGTTAATCTCGTATTAGTAATTACTTAAATCTAGACGTCCTCGAGGAATTGATGGGAACATAACCTAATCAGTAATCACTGCTAAAACTTTTTTGTTTTCTTAGGCTAATCAAAGAAAAGTTTGTTATCAGCAATCAGCATGGGTGTCTGTGTGTAATCAAAGACTAGCTGGAAAGCAGATCTACTGCCCCATCCAATCTTGTTTTATCCGACGAGTGAGGGTGAGGAACAAAAGAGTACAATTATAAGGTGCAAACGACACCAAATTGGTTGTCAAACTAATGGACACACCCTTGTTGGTTTGTCACTATTCAGTCGGCTGGCCAACACTAGCTAAAAAGTTAATAGTTTGTCAGAAAAATATCTTTTTTTCTGAACTTTCATGTAGATGAAAATTGTTTAATCCCTTTCTCAGAGCCTTTACAGACCTTTTATATATGTACAAGAATGATTGAAACGTTTACCCTATCATCAATATTATAAATGAAGCTATAAATGCCTTAATCATGAGAGATCATACCGATTTTCTGTTTCTTTCACATCGAACCGCCTTTCACCCCGATTGGACCCATATCTAGTATTTATAATAATAAGGTACCTACGACATTATAGGGTGAATATAACAATTTTGATGGATATTTTATCCTATGGTGACGTAAAATCTTAGTCAAAATGTGAAATTATGAAAGCTATAGGAGGTGTCATTTTTTATTTTATTTTTTTGAAAAGGTAGGAGGTGCCATTTAAAGACTAGAAAAACAAAAAGGAGTAGGGAATGTCTCTATCTATGGGACATTGCTCCGTCACCTTTCGGCTTTTGCAAAGGAAGATAGGAGAGGGGCGGTTTGGACGGTCGTCGTGGGCCGCCGGCCCCCACCGTCTACCTCTTCAAAATACGATACATTTTCCCAATCGTTGTGCGGTCCATATTAGATCATTAGGTGTGTCACCAAACCATCCATTAGACCTTTGAAAATGCAAATTGAGACAAAATTTATTTATTTTGGTCGGAATTCCAGATAGAAATAAGGCTGTCCTGACCCCCACCCCCCAAATGAGTTTTTGGCTGCCTAATTAACACAATCCCATAATTTACTCCTTTTAACCTTATTTTCTTAACGAGGAAAACATGTCGTCATTATTGATGATGTACATTGAGTAAACTCACTCACTTCTGTGTAATTGACTGCAAATCACACATAATAAGTAAATCATACTAAGAAAACCTTGTGTGACGAGTTTGACAGAAAATATATTGACAAGAATCAAATTCGTAATATTTTAATACGATAATCATGTTCTACCCATTCGACAACTACATTCGAGATATCTTTTTTGTTTTTTGTTTTTTATACACCATTCAGTATACTCATCACTAAGTCTAATTTATATTCGATTCAAATCATGCTCATAAAGTTTAAATTTTATTTGAGGAAAGCATGATGCATGTTGCACCTTCTACAAGAGTTCAACATCTTATCTTGCAATTGCAGTTTTCATCCTTTTGGAAATAAATAAATTAATACACTATATATATATATATATATATATATATATATATATATATATATATATATTGGTTGGGAGTCTATGATGCTCATAAAATTTCAAAAATACTCATTTGCTCCTAATAAATTCAAAAAAAAACAAAAAACAAAAAAAAAAATGTTAAACTGGCCAATATATTTAGCATTTTCCATGTTTCTCGTTTTCATGCTGTCTAGTTTGAAATTCTTCAATCAATAATGACCAATTGATCAAACGTTATCAATCTCAATTACAAAATATAACTTTCTGTGATATAAATTTCTCTTAATAAAAATTGCAAACATTAATTATATTAAATTGGGAAAATGGCACTTTTTCCCCCTTTGTTATATACTTATAGCACTTTTTCCCCCTAAATTATTTAAGTGGCAGTTTTTCCCCCTGATATATTAAATGGACATATTTACCCTTAAAATAAATATTTCATTTATTTTTCTTCTCCAACAAATTATAATCACGATTTGAAAAAATAAAATACATTAAGTGTTAAATTTAGAATATTTTAAAAATAAAAAAAATAAAATTTTAAAAGAAAGTTTGAACCAACCGTTCAAATTGGATCCAAAATCGTGAACCGACGGTTCAAAATAAAACTCAAATCGCGATTATATATACTTATATGTGAGAGTCAATATAAATGCGGAAAAAAACATGCACTATTTGCAAATATTATAATTCTAATTTAAGCTATTGCTAGTAATTGTTCCGATTTGAACCTCCGGTTCACGGTTTAGGATCCATTTTTTTCCAGTTCACGATTTTAATAAACGGAAACCCAAATATTGGGTTATGTTATGAATCATAACCGAAATTTTTTAATTTGATTGCTATAGTGTTTGGTTCAGTTCGAACCGAACCGTGGTCATCCCTACGTATAAGCAATAATTTGGTGAAGAAGAGAAATAAATAAAATATTTGTTTTAAGGGTAGAAATGTCCATTTAATATTATCAGGGGGAAAAACCGCCACTTCTATAATAATTGAGGGGGCAAATGTGAATGCATGAATAAGTCAGGAGGAAAAAGTGCTATAAGCATATAACACAGGGGAAAAAGTGTCATTTTCCCTATTAAATTCTAACCTAAAACATCTCAACATACAATCTTAAAAAATACGAATTTTACATCTCAAAATAATATTAAATATCATGTCACTATTAGAATAGATGAATGAATCAATCATCTTAATTAATTACATTTTTCCTTTATATATTCCATGCACCAAACCAATCCTTTACCTACTCAATTCTCCTACCCCAAATCTTTTAACTTGCTCATTTCTTTAATTTGGCACTAATCTCTATACATAATTCACTTGGATATTTCCCAAATTAGACAAATCTTCTTACCTACTCTATTAACTCTTCGTATCTCATCATTGGCTTACATGATTTTAGTTGATCTATCTATATTCTATACAAAATCCTAACTTTTTTTTTTTTTTGAAAGGAGCCGGTACGGTATTTATTCAAAATATGCAGAAATAGTAGCTAGTGGACTTGAGTCCGAATACATAATAGCCGTCTGAGTAAAGGCAATAGATGTTAAAGTATGAGCTAAATAATTATCTAATCTAGGAACATATCGAATTAAACAGTACTCAAAAGCCAATATACTAGTCCTACAGCTATCAATGACATAGCCCAAATAAGACCGTGGTGATCGAGTCATAGATGATAGATATTGTTGTAGTACTAAACAATCCGTGAAGAGCTGGATAGAGTTTATACCGCGATATCTCAACCATGACAAAACCTCTTTGCACGCTAGAGCCTCCGCCATTAGAGGTGTAAAACAATCTGACATAGGGGTGGTCATTGCGGAAATATATCCTCCTTGCGCATCTAGAATAATTGCACCCGCTGCCGCCCTGTTTGTTTATGGGTCGTATGCCGCGTCAAAGTAGCACTTGAGGGAATCCGCGTGTGGCGCAGTTGGTTGTGGCTGTTGCTGCTCGTGTGGCTGCATTACAGCGTTGCTCAAAGGCAGCCCATTCACTGCCGGCTCGGCAGTGATATTTGCGGCAACCAGCAGCCGTGTGATTGGCGCTCCATGTTGATCCGTCACAGCCGCATTGGCCTGCGGCTGTGTATGTGTCGGGTGCGCAATTTTCCAAGAGTGTACAGCCGAAGACGCCATCGTAATTACTTTCTGAGGCCTGGGTAAACATGCGTCCCAAACAGCCCCATTCCTCGCTCGCCAACTGTAGTATAGAATTGCCACTGCATAAATAATCTCATTATCATCTAAAATATTCATCAAATCATTAAACCAATCACTGAAAACATTTGTGACACTATTGGGGATTGGAAGGTGAGATTGTGCCCAAATGTTTGTTGTATAGCCACATGTGATCAAAGAATGCACAATATCCTCATGGGAAGCCCCACACATAGCACATGTTGGATCAATATCCACCCTCTTTATAAGTAGATTGTTTGTGGTGGGCAAAATATTACTCAGAGCTCTCCATATAAATGTCTTCCACTTTGGTGGGATTTTGAGTTTCCATAAAACCTTCCATTTATCAAAGGTCCCTAGTGGTTGAGAGTAATTGCCCACTAGTTTCCTATACCCATTCTTGATAGAATATTCACCATTTGGATCCCCATGTCAGTACCACAAATCATCATAATCAGGTGACACAGGTATTTTTTTAATTCGTTCCACATCCTCCGATATGAAAATATCCGTGAGAATATTCGGATCCCAGGTTCCAGTTTGTTGATACAAAATCCTAACTTAGTTTCATTATGATTATCTAATTCCACATTTCTAAAGGTGAAATCCGCCCTTAACGCCCTACTATACATCTCAACCTAACAAGATCGTAAAAAGGTTAATTATAGTAACTTAACGATTTCTTAGATGGAAAAATGAGCACCTGTGCGACAAGGAATTTGCGTTACAATGTGAGTTCGCAACGGGTCAAAATAATTGAGTGGGTCTTCCAATAGGTCACATTATGATTACCTAATCGCAAATTATGCCCTGGAAACGTGTTCACCATGGTGAACACGGGCCCAAACGGCGTCGTTTTTACGAGAAAAAAAAAATAGTTAATGTGATGTTAACGGCGTTTAGTGCTGTCAATACGGGCTGGCGAGGCGGGACGGGCTAAAGCTCGGCAGGCCGCGGGCCTAAACGGGGCGGGCTAAAAAAAGCCCGCTCCTAAACGGTCCTGGGTTTGACAGGCCCGGACCGCCCCGCCCAAACCCCTTTTTAAAAAAAAAAAAAAATTCATCAAACATCAAACTAATTAAAATAAATTGATACATAAGTCATAACTCACATAAATCATAATAATCAAACATTAAATATTACATAAAGTTCAAAGTTCATAGTTTATCAAACATCAAATTAGTCACAACTACAAAGTTCAAAAATATTACACATAACAATAATTTTAAAGTGCATATTTTATATAAAAATATTTTATATAAAATAAAATAAAATAATGGCGGGTAGCCCGCGGGCCTAAGCGGGGCGGGCCAAAAAAGCCCGCTCCTAAACGGTCCTCTATTTTCAAAACCCGCCCCCTACCTAAGTAGGGGCGGACCGGGGTGGGCCGGGTCGGCGGGCTAAGCCCGTTTTGACGGCTCTAACGGCATTTTGCATTCTATGTTCATATTATGAATTTACATTTATTAAATTATGAATTTTCTGTTATGAGATTATGAATTTACAGTATGTTATTATGAATTTTCTGTTATGAGATTATGAATTTACAGTTATGTAATTATGAATTTTCTGTAAATTCATAATCTCATAACAGAAAATTCATAATTTCATAACAGAAAAGTCATAATCTAATAAAAGAATATTCATAATTTTATAACTGCACATTCATAAATCCATGCCTGGACACTCATAATTTATGAGTGTTGAAGAAGCTTGCGCGAAGAAGAAGTGAACCCGTGAAACGTGAAAATGAAGAAGAAAAGTCGCGCTGTTAATTAAGAAAAAAAAAAAAGATAACGGCACCATTACCGTTTGGAACCGTGTTCACCATGGATGGTGAACACAGTTCCATGGCATAACGATTGTTACCTAATTCCACCCTCGTAAGAGTTTGCCTTACAATGCGAGTATGGCAATTTATATTATGGATCAGGGTTCACATAGCATTATGGACCTTGAATCGAAACGACGAGGTACATAATTTATACGCTTAAGGTACATAATTTCATAACACAATACACAAAAAATCATAACGCAAGATTCATACACATGTTATATATTTACTTATTTTTCAAATATGATTTAGGTACATAATTTGTCCAAAACGACGATGTACAAAATTTATACTCATAAGATACAAAATTTTATAACACAAGACACATACACATGTTATATATTTACTTATTTTCAAATTTGATTTAGGTGTATAATTTGTAGTCATAGGCATAGAATTTTACAATACAATATGCAAAAATTCATAAATGAGACACAATTACTAATTTGTTCCATGTACATAATTCATGTACATAATTTCCATAACGCAAAACACAAAAAAGTTACAACACAAAACGCATAAACATGAATCATGGATGTGTTTGGTTCGCAAAAGGGAATCGAAATTGGAACATAAATCTAATACTTGGTAATTGTAATGAGTTTTAGTTAAAGTATTTTACATGTTTGGTAGTATGGTGAAATTAGATAGTTATGCTGTGGGCTCGTGCCCAGCGTGCTTCATGCGCACGGATAACGGTGCCGTCAGGCACCGTTATCTTCCTTTTTTTTTTTTTAAAAAAAAAAAAATTAATTTCAGACCGCTTCGTTATAGGAGCATATATTCACAGCTTTGTGTTCATAATTTCATAACTGTACATTCATAATTCCATAACTGTACATTCATAATTCTATAATTGTACATTCATAATTCCGTAACTGTACATTCATAATTCAATAACTGTAAATTCATAATTTTCGAAGCTCTATGTTCATAATTGTAAGTTCATAATGTCAGAGTTCTATGTTCATAATTTCATAACTGTACATTCATAATTCCATAACTGTACATTCATAATTCCATAACAGTACATTCATAATTCCATAACTGTACATTCATAATTCCATACTGTATATTCATAATTCCATACCGAACATTCATAATTTTCGAAGCTCTATGTTCATAATTGTAAGTTCATAATTCCATAACTATACATTCATAATTCTATAACTGTACATTCATAATGTCATAACTGTATATTCATAATTTCATAACGAATATGCCGTTAACGCCGTTAACGGCGTTTCGAACAAATTTTTTTTTTTAATTAAAACAGCGTCGTTTTCACGGAAAACGACGCCGTTTTAGCGCCGTGCGCACCTTGCAAGGTGCGCACGTGCGCATAGCATAATTTGCCGGTGAAATTAGAATGACTACCAATATTGATGTTTGGTTATGTATGACTATATAATGAGAATACAGGTTTCAAAAATACAAAAATACAAAAATACAAAATTAAGACAATTGATCCTAATATAATGACATCCAAAACATTAATATGAATAAAAAATATTTAAAACAAAAATATAAAAATACTAATTTAAACTTGAAAATTAGATTACTAATAAAATAGAATTATATATACCCGTTTTTTAATTAGAAAATAAAAATTTTAATTAAAGAGATAATCAAATCTTACATTGTATTTTAAAAGCAAATACTAACTATAATTTTGATCTTTTTGCACTTTTAGTCCCACGACTATAGTGGCACTGGCAGAATTGATCCACGACTTTTGAACCTTGTAATTTTAGTCCACGACTATTGATTTTTTTGCAAAAATGGTCCTTCCGGCCACTTTTCCGTCAAAATTTCACCGGAAAAAAAAAATTCTCCATTTTTAGTCGGGTTAAAATTGACATTTTACTTATCTCAAAAAATTAAAAGAAAAAAAATTGATATTTGACTACATACAATACTACTGGGCTACATACTACTGCCCCAGGCGGCGGAGTTCCTGGAGCAGGCAGGGCTGTTAGTAAGCGGCGGAGCGGCCGTGGCGTTCCCCGGGCTAGTTGGGTTATCCGGCAGCAGCATTGGAGTGGTACATGTACTCCGCTGCCTGGGGCAGTAGTATGTAGCCCAGTAATATTGTATGTAGTCAAATATCAATTTTTTTCTTTTAATTTTTTGAGATAAGTAAAATGTCAATTTTAACCCGACTAAAAATAGAGAGTTTTTTTTTCCGGTGAAATTTTGACGAAAAAGTGGCCGAAAGGACCATTTTTACAAAAAAAATAAATAGTCGTGGACTAAAATTGCAAGGTTCAAAAGTCGTGAATCAATTCTGCCAGTGCCACTATAGTTGTGGGAGTAAAAGTGCAAAAAAGTCTGAACTAATGTGCATAGTATAAGAATTGTGTGACTCTGTGAGTATGTGACCCGTTGCAAATTGCAATGTGTACCTCTTATGATGTGGGCCCCGGATACACGATAGAATTTGCCAAGTGAATATTCTAGGTAATACTGTAAAAGGCAAGCGATCGTGAAAAATATTTCTGAAAATCGGCTGTAATCGGGTGCTTACCTCAATAGTCTGCGGGGCCCGCACGGGTGTCCAGCGAGGACTAGCAAAGCAAATACCACATAGGTCTGCTACACAGTAGTTTATATATAGTTTGTGAAATTCAGAATATTTCTCAATTCTCATCTCTTTCCTCTCCTCGCCTTTTCTCTCTCTTCATTGAACTACAGAAGAGACAGAAATCATCCTGAAAAGCAAAGCTGAAAGAACAGAAGCTAGGAATTGTAATCAGATCAGTATCATCCTCCGTCTCCAGCTATCAGGTAAGCGCTCTTTGATCTCATCTCGATCGTCGTTTTTGCTTGCTTTTTTTTTTTTGCTAGCTTACTTGCTTGATTATATTCATTCATATGATCGAACACCTCGTAGCGTTCTATGTATGCTGTATGTATCTCTTGAAGTGGTTGATGATTGTTGTTAATCGTCTTCATTCTTCGTCGATCGTCGTACGCAGCTTGAACTGCGTCTGTTTATTCAGAGTTAATCGATCTGAATGAAAGCTAGTCATTGCAGCCTGCATTTCTCGTATCTGCTTTAGTTTCTGGATTTCAAAACAGCATTGATAATTTGATATGATGTTCGATTTAGTCGGTATAGTCTATATATCTGTTCGTTCGATCTTCAATTTGATTTTTAGTTAATCTGTGCGAACTATGAGTCTATGAGGTTGTGTTGTTGTGCGATGCAAATAGTGTGGTATGTTTTGCCCAGCTTGTATGGGACCCACACGCCTTAATGGACGCAAAGACGGAACGGTTATTTTTGGAAAATACAATATTAAGCGACAAATTCAATTTAAATTACGGTCTTAGGCGCAAGTTAAATAACGTGGTCCGTCACTTCTTTTGAGTTTTGATAATTGATATAAATATTAACATTTGTGTAGCACGTTTTTTCCTATAAATTTTATGAGAATTTGTAAAATATGGAATAATATTAATATTACATAAATGTAACGGGTGCTCTTAATTTTTAGTATAATCCGTTACATATATATAGTTGTACAAAATATAATATGATGCCTTAACAAGCACTTTAATTTAAAAATTTTAGACTTGACTTTATTTCAAAATGTACATGCATTTTCGAATGACTATGAAAATGTATTAAGATAAACTTTATTTTAAGGCTTAATACTTTATACTTAGGTCGGGCTCGTATTTTCTAGATTAAATTTATTTACTTTTACATTATTGGGATAAATCAAGGAATCAATGTTCTTTGACTTTCATTTTCTAGATAAATGTATGTTACCAAACTGTGACAAGAACCATGGCCGTCCAGGGATTTCTTTTAAATTAATTTATAAGTTGGCCCACATAAAAATTCGTGCACGACATTATATTTGTTTCTTCAAGTTCCGAAGCAAAGTTCCTATTCAAGATGATGACGACTCTCTACCGTCATATTTCTCTAAAACAAATTTCGTTTTTGTTGCGTTTCTTTTAGATATTGGTGCCTACACGTATCTACTATTGTTTTTAGTAAGCATAAAATTGTCATTTATTTCTTTGATCTTAAAGCGCGAGGAAGCATTAAAACGGCATTAATTGAAATTGGTTGATATTAGTGCAGATTTTGGTGGAGAGGTTTGTAAATCTAAAGAGTTAAGGCACAGTTCGTTCAGATATGGAAGTAGAAACTCAAGCAAGTCACGAGATACCAGTCGCGAAGGCTGCCGAGGAAACAGACACCAATGGCGTTCATACTAAGGTAATGCATTTTTTTACTTAGTCAAATGATCTACATCACTGCATATTGTTAAATGATTCTGTACATCTGTTATCAATACCATGATTCTGGAATTGTCTGGCATCCTGTTTAAACTGAGAACTGTGTGCTGTTCATGTTGTCGATCAATATAAAATCTGTCCCTGAATGGAGTTGTGCATGTTGCAGGCGACCAATGGGGAGTTGAATCCGGTAGACAAAGTGGTTAAAGAAGAAGAGAAGACAGTGCTTGATGGGGAAATCATAAAAGTAGAGAAGGAAACTTCTCTGCAATCTGTAGTGGAGAAAAGCAGGGAATTTCTGGAAGCACAAGAAAAGGTGAAAGAGCTGGAGCTGGAACTGGAAAAAATCACTGAACATTTGAAGAACTCTGAATCTCAGAACACAATGTTGAAGGAAGAACTCTTGCATACAAAGGAGAAGTTGGGGGAAAGCGGGATAAAGTATGAAGAGCTAGAGCTCAATCACAAAAAGTTACAAGAGCAGATTGCAGATGCCGAAGGGAGATACAGTTCCCAGCTTAATGCATTGCAAGATGCATTGCAAGCAAAAGATGCGAAGCACGCTGAGCTAGACAGTGTTAAGGAGGCATTTGACGGACTTAGCCTCGAGCTCGAGAGCTCTAGGAAGAAGATGGAAGAGCTTGAGCAAGAGCTGCAGATTTCTGCTAGCGAGGCGCAGAAGTTTGAGGAGCTGCACAAGCAAAGCGGTTCGCTTGCAGAGTCAGAAACAAACAAGGCCATGGAGTTTGAGAGGCTGCTAGAGGTCGCCACGAAAAGCACGAAAGAAATGGAAGAACAGGTGGCTTCTCTGCAAGGGGAGCTAAAAGTGCTCTGTGAAAAGATTGCAGAAAGTGAGAAGGTTGAGGAGGCACTGAAGAGTACCACTGCAGAGCTCTCGAATGTTCAAGGCGAGTTAGGCGCTTCCAAATCAGAACTACAGGCATTGGAGGCGAAGCTTGCTGCAGAAGAAGCTGTTCGAAATGAATTGACTCAAGAATTGGAGATGAGAAAAGCTTCAGAGTCTCAGATAATGGAAAACATGTCAGCTCTTGAGAAGATATGTTCATCAGCCAAAGAAGATCTGCAGGCTAGGACATTGGAGATCGACGAAATCAAGTTGAAGCTGCAGGAGGAAGTTGCCGCAAAGGAAGAAGTCGAAGCTAAAGAGAAAAGCCAAGAAGCAGAGCTTGCAATGATGCAGGAGAAACTTTCCAAACTCTCTGAAGAAAAAGAAGCAGCTGAAGCAGCTCTCTCTGATTTAGCTAATAAGGCAGCAAACATGAAAGAGTTATGCAACGACCTAGAGGCTAAATTGCAGAGTTCCGACGAGAATTTCTCCAAATCCAATTCTCTGTTGTCTCAAGCTTTGGAAAACAATGTGGAGCTCGAGCAGAAGTTCAAAGCACTTGAAGAGCTTCACCAGGAGTCTCAACATGCCACCACTACTGCACACCAGAAGATTCTTGAGCTTGAGGAGATGCTGCAAGCCTCCAATGCTGCTGCAGAAGATGTCAAAACACAGTTGAGAGAATTAGAGACACGCTTCATTGCAGCAGAGCAAAGAAATGTGGAGCTAGAACATCAGCTAAATCAGGTTGAACTTAAAAGGAGTGATGCTGAGAGAGAACTGGAGGAGTTCTCGGTGAAAATATCTGAATTAAATGCCTCTCTTGAAAAGGTAGTGGAAGAAAAGAGTATCCTGAATGCCCAGATTCAGGAGCACCAAGACAAGATAGCTCACATGGAGTCTGACTCAATCAAACTAGCAACCCGTAATTCAGAACTTGAAGAGGAATTGAAGGGCGTTCAAGCTAAATGTGAAGAGCACGAGGGTAGGGCCAATGTCAATGACCAGCGCAGCCGTGAACTTTCGGATTTAATGCAGATTTCTCATACAAAAGCAGAGGAATCAGACAAGAAGGCAAGTGAGTTAGAGCTATTGCTTGCAACAGAAAAACACAGGATCCAGGAGCTTGAAGAACAGATAAGTGCACTAGAAAATAAATGTGGTGATGCAGAAGCAGAGTCTAAAAAACTCTCTGAAAAGGTATCTGAACTTGAAGAAGAGCTTACAGCATACCAGAACAAAGCATCAAGCTTTGAAATTGCATTAAATTCAGCCACAGAAAAGGAGAAGGAATTGAGTGAATGCTTGACCGTGGCTGCAGAAGAGAAGAAAAACTTGGAGGATGCCTATAAAAACTCAACTGAAAGGTTAGCTGAATCAGAGAATTTGCTTGAAGTCTTGCGCAATGAATTAAATGATACTCAGCAGAAACTGGAGAGCATTGAAAATGATCTAAAGGCTGCTGGAATGAAAGAGAGTGAAGTAATGGAGAAGCTTAAGTCTGCTGAGGAGCAGTTAGAGGAACAAGGGAAAGTATTGGAGCAAGCTACATCAAGAAGTGTAGAGCTCGAATCACTGCATGCAGCTCTGGCAAGGGATTCCGAGCTGACACTCCAAGATGCAACTGCAAAACTTGCTAGCAGAGATTCAGAGGTAGAGTCATTGAATGAGAAATTAAATACTCTTGAAGATCAAGTTAAGAGTTATAAAGAGCAGATAGCTGAAGCCACTGAAAGATCTACTGCAGTGAAGGATGAACTGGAACAAGTTTTGCTGAAGCTTTCTTTGTCTGAGAGCACCAATGAAGACTTCAAAAATAAAATCTTGGAAGCAGAGAGTAAATCTGCAGAGGTGCTATCCGAAAATGAACTATTAACTGAGACAACAAATCAGTTAAATAGGAGGATTGCTGATCTTGAAGAACAGCTAAATTCAGTCAGTGCTGAAAAGGAAGCTACTATTCAACAGCTTGCTTCTCATACAAGCACTATCACTGAATTAACAGAGAAACATTCAAGAGCCTTTGAAGCTCATGCAGTGACTGAAGCTCGCGTGTCAGAAACAGAAGTAAAGTTGGAAGAAGCATTACAGAAATTCTGCGAAAAAGATTTAGAAGCTAAGGACTTAGCTGAGAAGCTACACTCTCTTCAGGATCTGGTGAAAAGATATGAAGATCAAGTGCATGAAACTTCTGCCCTTGTTGAAAATCAAAAAGTGGAACTAGAACTGTCTATTTCGAATTTGAGAGACCAAGAAAGAATCATTGAAGAACTGAAAAGTGCATCAGGCAAACTTGAAGAGGAGAGAAAAGGTCTACTTATTGAAAATTCAGAAATTTCAGAAAAAGTAGCCTCTTATGAGCTGAAATTAAATGATTTAGAAACCAAATCATCAGCCGTTATTGCTGAGAAGAATGAAGCAGTTGAAGAGCTGAAGAAGGTGATAGAAGACTTGACAGAGCAATTAAGTTCTGCAGGGCAAAATCTTGAAGAGGAGAGAAAAGGTCTTTCAGAAAAAGTAGCCTCTTATGAGCTGAAACTGAATGATTTAGAAACCAAATCATCAGCTGTTATTGCCGAGAGGAATGAAACAGTTGAAGGGCTGAAGAAATTGATAGAAGACTTGACAGAGCAACTAAGTTCTGCAGGGAAAAATCTTGAAGAGGAGAGAAAAGATCTTCAAGAAAAAGTAGCCTCTTATGAGCTGAAATTAAATGATTTAGAAACCAAATCATCAGCCGTTATTGCTGAGAAGAATGAAGCAGTTGAAGGGCTGAAGAAAGTGATAGAAGACTTGACAGAGCAATTAAGTTCTGCAGGGCAAAATCTTGAAGAGGAGAGAAAATGTCTTTCAGAAAAAGTAGCCTCTTATGAGCTGAAACTAAATGATTTAGAAACCAAATCATCAACTGTTATTGCCGAGAAGAATACAACAGTTGAAGGGCTGAAGAAAGTGATAGAAGACTTGACAGAGCAACTAAGTTCCGAGGGGCAAAATCTACAGACGCAGGTGAGCTCTCATTCCTTTGGAATAATTTGTTGCATGCATTCATACATTTAGCAAATTATCTTTATCTTGTATCTTATTCTTCAATTTATGTCATGTCATACACAGCTATCGTCAGCTCTGGAGGAAAAGAAACAACTCCATGAAAAGCATCAACATTCTGAGAAAGAGCTTCTGAGTCAAATAGCACATCTTGAAGCACAACTTCAAGAACATAAATCGAGCAAAGATGTACTGCAATCCAAAGTAGAGGTCCTCACTGCGGATATCTCTCAGAAATCTGAGCTGCAGAATCTTGTGAAGGAGCTCGAAGAACAACTAGCTAGTGTCAAGCTTCAAGTCAAAGAACAGGTAATAGAATTGTTTATACTTTATAGTAGTCTGCTTATGAATTCAGAACTAGTTCCAAATGCCAACACTACATATGACTTTCCCTTTCAAGTTTCAACTACTTTAAAATGATGAAAGTTGCATGATTGGCCAGATTTTGCATATCAGCCTCTCATCCTTGATTTCTGTGGAATTTTTAATCAATAAATTTCTTTTTTCAATGTTGTACAAAGCAGAAAGAAGCAGAATCCCAAAAGGAGATGAAACTAGAAGCCACTTTTAAGGAGCTGCAAGCTAAGAGCAATGCAGTAACACTGTTGGAAAGCAAAGCCAAAGAACTGGAACAGAAATTGCAGTTGGCTGAAGCTCAGTTAAAAGAAAAGGTTAGCTAATATCTTCTTCCCAACACTGTCTTACTTTCCCTTGCCGCCTGCGTTCTCTCTATTTTCTCCACTGTATTCTTCCCATGATTCGCGGTGGGAGTAGACTGTAGACTAAACTGTAGACAATCTTCAAATTTAGGATTTAATGCACTTTAGTTTAGCATTAAAAATCACAAGATTCCATGTTTGATATAAATACAACAATGCAGGAGAAATTGCCATTGGAGATGAAATCCAGGGATATCGGATCAACTGTCTCAGCCGTATCGAACCGGAAGAAAAAATCGGGAGCATCTTCCGGCCAGGCCGTGTCCTCAGATTCACCGACAGTACATGTTCATGGCACCGACGCTGCCTCTCCTATGAAGACACTGAAACACATATTGGGCGTGGCGTTGATTTCCGTAATCACCGGCATCATTCTTGGGAAAAGATACTAGGTTGGGCTTTGGGTTCCGTTGTAAGATTCTCCTAATAATTTCTTTACTATATATTTATTTATGTCTGTCCTAGACTCCTAGTCAAGTAATTTTTTCATTGAAACACAAGAAAAGTTTTTAGTTTCTTTTTGCTGGTTATGGCTTTTTTTGCCTTTTTAATTTGAATTGGAGAGTGATTTTTTCATTTTCTCCTCAACTGTAGCGAAATCAATTGGTCCATGCTGTTGTAACATTTTTATACTAAAATATATTTTGTCAGTTTTTTTTTTTCTCATAAATAAAATCATGGAGTTAATTCCAGCAATGGTCCTCCGACTATATTAATTCTCTAAAATTAGACCTCAACTTTTAATTTGGACATTTTAGGTCTCTTGACTTTCAATTTCTTTCCAATTGAGGTCCTTTTCGTCAGAATACAATTAATTGAACTTTAAATGAAGGGGTAAACTCGTCCTTTCACCTGTCTATGTATTATTCTTCATATTTCTCCCTTGTATAAGCGATATATATGAAGATAATCTCAGTCGAAGTCCTAGAATGTTCCTCGCCGTTCCCCATTTATTGATGGCTCATGTGTGCGTTTCTCCATTATTGAGATGTGTGCGTTTCTCCATTATTGAGATGTTTACAAGGTATAACAGCATTTAAAGTCTAATTAATCGTATTCTGACGAGAGGATTTCAATTGGAAAGAAATTGAAAGTCAAGAGACCTAAAGTATCCAAATTAAAAGTCGATGACTAATTTTGGAAAATCAGTATAGTCAGAGGACCATTGCTAGAATTAACTCTAAAATCATGATAAGTGTTAAGAATTAAGAGCAACACTCCATCAAATCTATTAAAACCAAAAGAAAATATATAATCGTGTAAAGAGGAGAAAAGGTAACTTCCTCATACCAAGGCTACCTTAAGGTGGAGTACTATTCAAGGTTTTGCCATTTCTCCATTTGGAGAAATTGTTTACAACTTCTCCAAAAGCATTAAGAAGAGTGAAGAATGGGAGATGGAATAGGAACTTGGAGGAGTGAATTTAATAAACAAATTTTTCATTTTCTATTTTTTCACTCCTTTCAATTTTTTTTGTTTTTTTCCAAAAAAAAAAAAAAGGAAAATCTCTAATTTAACACTTTGATAAATAACATCGTACTTTAGTGTTTTGGTGTGAAGTAAGTTGGAGATGCTCTAATAATACCAGTCAATTCTTAGGCCAGATGGGCTACGCAAACTTGAACTAAAAAATAGAGGCAAGACTTACACAACTATGTCTCAAGATATGAGACATGCACACCATTTAAATAGAGGCAAACCAAGCAATCAATTGCTTGCAAAACCCAACATTAGAGAGAGCCCCAAACATGAAAATTTGGAAAACTAAAGAATCAAGATAAATTCTCGTTTAAGAATTTACTTTCATATTTACTTTATATAAATGTATTATTTACATATTAAAACAAATACAATCAACTTAATATTATATAAATGAATTGAATTTCAATATATTATTGTGTTGTGTGCGAGATATATATATATATATATATATATATATATATATATATATATATATATATATATATTGGTAGAGGGAAGGGGCCAAGGCCCCAGGGGGGACTAAGAAATTCTTCTCGTGATCACGATCCAGAAGGTGGATGAGCCCGTCGGGAGGTTGAGTAAGGATAGAGACCCCCCACGGGAAGCTTTGTCCCAAGTTAGCCAAAAAATCTGCACACTGATTGTCTTCTCGAAGTGTGTGAACAATGTCAAAGACCGGAAAGTGCCGCATAAGAGATATATATTATAAAGAGACACACACCCACTTATAGGTTTTATATGGGTTCTAAATTTCTAATTATATAAGAGAAGAGTAGTTGTTCACAAATTGATCCATATTGAATGATTGTTACTTGTCCTAACCTTACCATATATATATATATATATGGACTTGAACTATAATTTGATGGGTGACGCGAGAAAAACATATATTCATTATAAGATTCAATGATTGATTTAATAATATAATTTAGTTGAATATTGTTTTAATTGTATTTATATTCATAAAACCTAAACCATTCTACGTGACTTTGTATGTTTAATTTAATTTTCATAATGATTGCAATATTTGTCACAAGTTAAATGTAAATTAAATTTGATACAAATAAAAACCATCAAAAATCAAAATATTCATAATGTTCAAATTCAACAATCACCCAATCTAAACATTCACATAACATTAAAAAAATATATATATTGTTCTATTATAAGAACCTTATTGTCAATCATGGATACAAAGTAAATCGAAGGGACCACGCACACTTAAACATGTATAGAAGTGGTGGTTTCCTGTATCACTGTCCATCTGTCTTCATTCACCCTTCAAAAGCAAGCTTCCAATGCACAGCAACAACACAGTCCCGCACAACTGTATATATAATCAAGAAAAGAATCCAAATATCAAGTTGATGAATGGCAACATGTCTAAAGCCAAATATATTTATAACTATTTAAACTTTTTCCTAATTCCAATAAATATTATTTGAGATAGTTCTCATATGTTTGAATCTGGTAGGATTTGTCTCTTTTAATTTGTCAAGCGGACTTCACCCAACACCTTTAATCACAAATTTTAATTTTTCCGTAAATCAAAGAGTGTTGAGAGGTTGATATATCTAATTATAATTTTTTTTTTTTTTTTGAATGCTACTGGCTCTATTACATTGTAGTATCTGTTCATATACTTTCTCAACCTACTGAAACACAAAGAACCAATAACGCCTCCACTGAGGCTCGAACTCATAATCTTCCAAATGGAAGTCCAACCCGGATACCATTAGACCACATAGTCCTGGTTATAATTTAATTATAGTATAATCTTGAAAATTGACATAAAAGTCTGCTATCAATTACAAAGTTGTGTTTGGGGAGAGTGATTCAAAAAAAAAAAAAAAAAAAAAAAAAAAAAGAAGACTGACCAGCCCTTCCAGAAGCCGTCACCCCTGGACTGAGTTTGCGCGGGAACAGAAGGCTCGCTGCGGCCTTGGCCATCTCTGACGGGATATCCCGGCGGCGGAAGCGGCGGCGGCGCAGAAAATCCACCTTGCGGCTGCGGCTGCGGCTGCTGTGAGTACGGAAACGCCGCCGTTCCAGGTGCTGCTGCAAATTCACGAATGCATATATATATTATACACACAATCAATCAAGTGAATCAACTAACCAAACATCGATCATTCACTCATATACTCAAAAATCAATCAACCAAGCTAAGCTAATTCACGCGATTCAAAAAAAAATACACATACCTTGATGAGGATTCTGACTCATGCTGGAAATCGATGAAGAACACCCGATCGATCTGATCCGAAACTGATTTGATCTAAGAAAAGTAGTGTAAAGTGGTTATTATGCGCATCAGAATAGTTAGAAAAGATTAATTTATAAATATAAAAGGAATCAAGGCAGCTATGGATGTGGCCTACCGGGGCACCGGGCAATTGCAAGTGGGGAAGGTACGTAGTAGTGGAATTCAATTGTTGCTTAGACGTGGACGGCGAAGCTATCTTAACAAACACGCCATTCTTATTTAGTATTCATTCATTAAAAAATTATTTTTTTTTGGTTGACGTCATTTTCAAACATTGAATATGCTCCATTCGGCATAATTATTGCGTTTTTTGTCAAACTTATTTCATCACATCATCTTTTCTTCTCCCAAATAAAAGTTTATGTGATGAAATAAGTTTGACAAAAACTTTGATTTAAGAGAAAGTTAAAAGATAATATTTAAATATATATATTTTAGTAAAATTTGTCTTGTGATCATAATCAATATAAAAATTAAAATAAAAATAAATTAATTTAAGTGATTCATAACTGGTCAACTCAAATCAATAAAATTAATATATAAGTGGCTTTCATGATCATAGAATGAATCTTGTCAAACTTATTTGATTGCCTAAGCTATACTTATATATATTTAACGAGTCAAAGTTATTTATAAATAATTCTATGTTTCTTTACGAAAAATATTGCTTAATATATACTCCACTCATATACAACTAATTAAGGAGATTATGAAGACGAGTTCTAGAACAATATAATGAAGAATGTGTATTGCTATGTATGAAAATTGAAAAGTAAGCACCTTTTTCCTCACTTGTTCAAATATTTTATATAAGTTAGAGTGTTGAATGAATTTGATTCTTACAATCTATCAGGAATGTCTAGAACTTCCATAAACACTGCCTAATTTCCATAATCATAAATTAAATGTTCCGATCCATCCCAAACAAAAAATCCATAAATATGGTTGAGTTTTCATAATTACACTTAATCACAATTATTACCTTGCACCCCACGTCATTACTCCATGGGCCTAAGGTCCACGCTAGCTAGCAGGGGAGCTTAATTGGCCTGAATTGTCACCTCTAATTAAAACATGGCAACTGGCAATGACTTGGGTTGGCCGAGGGGTTCTATTCGAACGGATAGAATCATTAAAACATAATTGTGACTCTTTTAAGATTTCACCCATAATAACAAGAATGAGGGTTTGTTTGAAAACTTGAAAAATGACTTTTGCAAATTATTTTTTGAATTTTCAGTATTTGGATGTGTTTGGAAACGGAAAATGTTTTCCATTGACTTTGAAAAACATGTTTGTTTTAGAGGAAAATGATTTTTCCTCTTTTTTTTTTTTGGGAGTCATTTTTCAATTTTTACACCAACACCACACCAGCCACCACCACCACCACCAACACCACCTCACTATCTCCGTCACCACCACCACCATATCACTGCAACCACCGCCATCATACCACCACCAGTTATTATTATTATTATTATTATTATTATTATTATTATTATTATTGTTGTTGTTGTTGTTGTTGTTGTTGTTGTTGTCGTCTATTCGATTAACGAGGCTTGACTGAAGTTATTTTTAATTCAATTTTTCATACTATTAAGTTTAGGGTGTGTTTGGAAACCCGGAAAATGATTTCCAATGATTTCTGGAAATCATTTTCCGGGTTTTTGGTGTTTGGCTAGGCTGAAAAATGAGAAGTCAAAGGAAAATGAGACATGGTCAATGGAAAATGAGCTTAATTTTCCGGAAAATGACTTCCCTTTTTTTTTTGGGGGAAGTCATTTTCCGGAAGACTTCTTTGGCCTACAACAACAACCACCTTCGTCTGTCTATAACAACAATCACCGTCATCTCCGTCTACAGCAACAACTAACACTGAATTCCCCCCAAATACTGTTCTCTGGTTTCCGCCGGAAACCAGAGAGCAAGTACTGTTCTCTGGTTTCCGACGAAACCAGAGAGAACGGCGGAAAACCAGAGAGTTTTACTCTCTGGTTTTCGTTTTTTTTTTTTTTTTGGTTATTTTTTTAAATTTTTTTAGTAAACATTATTGTTATTATTGTAAATTTAATATTATTATTATTATTGTAAATTTAATAATATTATTATTATTATCTATAATATTATTGTAAATTTAATATATTTTAAACAAAATAATTAATTATATAAAATGTTTAATTATACAATTTTACATCAATTTCCAGAAAATGAGCCAAACAGACAAAGACAGTTTTCTATTGTGCAGCCAAACACGAGAAAGGAAAACGTTTTCCGGAAAACATTTTCCAGAAGTCATTTTCCTGCTTTCCAAACGGACCCTTAGTTATAGTATACAAAATTTATATATTTAGAAACTACGTAAAAGTACTATTAAACAAAAAAAAAATCAAATTTAAAAATAAGTAAAAAATACTAAAGAAAATAAATAAAGAAGAAAAAGTTTGTTTGACCAATGAATAGTAAGTAGGACAGATAAAATGGGACCGATGAAGTAACAAATAATACCACCACCACTACCATCACAAACACCACCACTACTATACCACTTTAGTATTAGTAGTGTTGTTGTTGTTATTTTGAATTACAATACTTTGATTAGTTATTTTGTTATCTTATTAATTATTTGTTATTATATTTAAAATTGTTATTATATTATTATATATTATTACACATGTTATATTCTAAATAAAATAATTAAAATATTTAATTATACAATTATATTCATTTTCTAGAAAATGAACCAAACACACTAAGATAATTTTTCAGAATGCAAGCATCTACTAAAAAGAAAAATATTTTATTAAAAGTGATTCATTTTACAGAAGTCATTTTTCTGCTTTCGAAACGGACTATAAAATCATTAAAACATAACGAAAGTCGTATAAAGGATAAAATTAGATCAAAGGATAGTTTCGTAATTTCACAATCTCACTTATTAATTTCTTACTCCCTATTCTCTCCTTCAAAGTAGCAACACCACGTGTTCCCACTGCACCTTATAATAATCGGTTTCATTTTTTAAAAAATATTATTGAATATAATATTTAAAACGGTGTGTATTATATATGATTAATTTATACCCCTAAATTATTTATAATTTATAAACAATTGCATTACATGCTTTGCCAATAATATAAAAAAAATGATTTTATTAAAAATAATTAAGTATGTTGTTTGAATCATGATTATAGCATGCATTATGTACGTCAGTATATAAGTATATCACCTTATAATATTTATATAGTGTGAAGCAAGGCTAAACCCCTATCAATATATAACTTGATCGAGAATCTCTGATCTTTATATCCAGTTAGATAAAGACACCTCATCCTACCATCATAATCATATAGTCCATTTTGATATATATCATCACGCATAATAATGCTAAGGATCGGATAACATTTCAATTCGTCACGCATTTTCTTTTTATTAATTATATATACATCGAACAAATTAAAAATTAACGATACAAAAAAAAAAATATTTATAAAAAATAAAAATGGGCAAAACAACCATCTTATTCACTTAGAAATTACAATGCTACGAACACCGTTTAGCTGCTGTTTTTTACGGGTTTCCCCTCCTTAACAAAAAAATAAATAAAAAAATAAAAATTACAATGTTACAAGTTTGACTATATCAGGAGTGACCGGCCTATTTATCTTATGATTTTAGTCAAAACTATGGACAACATAAACTAACTTATCTTCTACGATTATTTATTAACTAAGATCATAATTAGGAGAGTTTTTGGTAAACTACTAGTGTTCGTGTTCGGTAAACGTTTGTGTATGTTCGTTTATTAAAGTAAATGAACATAAATGAACAAAATTAGAGTTCAATTTATAAACGAATATAGTCTGAATAGTTGTAGGCTTGTTTGCTAAGAGCTCGTGAACAATCTCGTTTGTATTCGTTTAATAATATTTACGAGCATGTTCATGAACAATAATCAGTTAAGTGTGTATACTGAACCCTTAACAAACGAACACGAATATAATTTTAAAAAATCTAACTTAACAAACGAACAGGAACCACCTCCGTTTGTTCATGTTCATTTTTTTACATCCCCAATCATAATACATGCACTACATAGTTTGGATAATGACTATTAATTTCCATGGTTAATCAAAACAAATAATGGAATCAATGGTATTACGTGCATGCATGCATGCAAGAGCTAGCTAAGTTTATCATACAGTTTGGGTGAAGGAAACTAAGGTGGCAAAGTCTTGGTTTTGCTCGAGCCTAAACATGTCCTCCTCTCTCAATTTCGCCCACGCTTCTACTCCCTCCCCGTCGGCCGTGTCCAAGAACACCACCGTATTCATCCCCACCGCCGCGTTCGCCACCCACATCGGCTTTCCCCACCCCATGTCCGCTTCGTAAAACGGGAATCGGCACCAGCTACTTGTTATCAGGCACCCAACAACCTCTTCCGCACCAACTTTAATTTCAATATTATTGCTTCCCTTTTCCATCGCCTCCGCCAGACTCTCCGGCGGCGCTCCCTCCCCGCCGCCGTACACCTCCCTCACCACCGGATCTTTCACCCTCCGTATCGACTCCTGCACTCCCCGCCGGCACTCGTCCACGGAGGCTCCCCGCTCCCCCGCCGCCGCCAGTTTCGCGAGGGCTATGTGTAAAGTGCTTCCGATGCTGTTGGGAGGCAGCGGCGGGACCATCCGTTTCCGCAAGTTGACGGCGCTCACCAAGAGGTGTAGCTTGAGGTCTCTGTTCCTCTCCCGAGATGCGGCGATGAACGCCGCCCATATCAGCGCCGTCAAGGCCTCGATCCTCGTCGGAATACTCGCTATAATTCCGCCGGACGAGGTGGCTAGTTTTTCTCTGAGTGTCGCTATCTTGGATCCCTCGAACACGAATCTTTTTGTGACGGGTTGACCTTTCGTCGCTGCCTCTCCGTCCCATGGAACCGTCTGGTTCACATCCACGCTCCTCGGAGCAAAGATTCCACTACAATCAACCACAAAGCCGCCGCCAATTTTGCTGTCGTCCCCATCCCTAAATAAATCATGCAAAAGAATTATGGACTCTTGAAGCTTATAATTGAATGGAATAAGGTTCAAATTGGCGACCGAAAATAATCTGAAAATACAATTAGGCTACTAAAGGAAAAAAGTATTATTAGGCCACTAAACACTCAAAAAACGTACAATTAGATCACTGAACACTCCAAATGTATTCAATTTCACCTGAAATTGCATACATTTAGAATGTTTAGTGGTCTAATTGTATTTTTTTTCGCTCAATGATCTAATTGCATTTTCAGGTTACATTCACTAACCAATCTGAACATTATTCCTAATTGAATTATACTAAATGTATTAAAAAAAAAAAAAAAAAAGAAGAAAAAACTTTATCCATATACCTACTGATGGTGGCCCACGTCTGCAAGAACGTGGCGGCGGTGGAAGCATCAGCGATCCCGTGCCAAAGACACGCGCCGACGGCGATTCCACCGCAAGGAAACTCAGTGACTTGGACGGCTAGCAGGGCATAGTCGTTCACTTTACTGGGCCATTCTCCGGGATTGCAAGGAAGCAGCCGACAAAGGGTCTCCATTCTGGGGCGGCTGACGACGGAGGATAAGTTCTCTCCGACGGCGCGTGCCTCCACGAAGAGGGCGCCGTCGTCGTTGCAGCGGAGGGTGAACACGTCCTTCACCCTGCCGGCCAGCGGGTACAAATGGGTTAACGTCATCGAAAGAGATTCCTTGAGGTGATCAAACAACGATGAGGACGACATGGTTGACTCCTCCGCAGGGAATATTCCGGCGGTGGTTGGGTAGAAGAGAACGACCGGAACATAGAATTTGACGGCGAGTTGATCAAGGAGGGAAAATTTGTAGTCCCTAAGGTTGTGAGGTGTTGGACGAGAAGGTTTGATGGTTTGTTTTTGGATAATCTCTACTCTGATCATCGTCGTCGTCGGTCGTCTGCATATTGTGCAGGCCGGAAAATTAAGCAAATTTATAAATCCATTTAGAGCTTGAGAATCTGTTCATATCTAGTTAGATTAAGATACCTCAACTTAGTGCATTTTGATACTCCATATTATATTGTATTGCCCCATAATTTGCATGTAATTGAAGGGCACAACAGCAGGCCAGGCACGTTATATAATAGAGTTAATTGGATTAGAGCTCTTTTGGGGGTAATTTTAAATTTAGTTTCACAATATTATTTTTGTCATTTAACATTATAAACTATTATTTTTTGGACGGAAAATACTACATGTATTTTCATTTTTTATTTTTGATTTTTACTCCACACACAAAATCTTGATGTAGACACTTGTATTGAGACCCACATAAGAAAAGTAGTCAATCAGTGCTTGCCATATTAGAAAATAAAATTTAGAGAGTATAATTTGGGAGTCTAGGTAGTAGAACTCTTTTTGGACACGTTTAGTCATTTTCATGACTTTTCCTGTAAGGACATTTTTGTCCTTTCATATTTTTTCTTTGTTAATTTTCCAGTTTCGAGTTAGTTGGTTTAGGATTTTACTAAAAATCGGTTAAAAATATGGTTACTAAAAAACAGATGTTACCTAAAGTTCTAAACCAATTAACCCAGTTACAATTGGAAAAATAACTAAAGAAAAAAATATGAAAAGATAAAAATGTCCTTATTAAAAATACAAAAAGTCATGAGAATGACTAAACATGCATGTCCAAAAATAGTCTATGATGTTAAATGACAAAAACGATAGTGAAACTAATAAATTTAAAATTATCACAAAAAACAATGGACCTCTAGTGGAATTAACTCTTATATACGGAGTAAGATTTACTCAGTGTTGATGGTCAATCGAGAAGGGCAAATGCAACTATCACATTGAGTCGAATTTAAAACACGTACTATTGTTACCAGATTAATTGTTTTTTTTTTTCTTTTGAAAATCAAACAATAACTTGCATTAATTAGCGAAAAGATCCGAAATACAATCAGGCGGGATAGAATCCAAACTCCAAAGACATAGGAAGAATCAGTCGCCCGTGCAAGCACATGAGCTACATGATTCGCTGATTTATTAACATGACGAACAACAACGTTTCCAATGTCACTAGCAATAGACCGACATTATTTTATAATGAGACCAACATAGGAAGAGTCTTGACGAATAGAATTAAAACTCAAACAAAAATTTAAACAATCAGACTCAAGAATTAAATTAATTGTTAATATAGACTAACTCAGTTGATGAGGTTGTCTGATACCCAAAATCACTTCAAACTTGGCCAACTTAACAAGAAACATATATAGCTACGCTATTATTTTCACAAGATAAGATAATGTATAATTAAAGAGAAAATAGTAGTAACCAGGACTATGTGGTCCAATGGTACCCGGGTTGGACTTCCATTTGGAAGGTTGTGAGTTCGAGCCTCAATGGAGGTATTATTAGCTCTTTGTGTTTTAGTAGGTTGAGAAAGTATATGAACACATACTACAATGTAATAGAGCTAGTAGCATTCAAAAAAAAAAAAAAAGAGAGAAAATAGTAAGAATATAGCATTATTATAAGGAAGAAAGCTTTACTTCCCCACTATCCTACACAATAATATAGTATTTGCTTGCAACAAAACTTGTCGCTGGAGTCATGAATTAAGATGATAAAATTAATACAATTGTTTATTGATCGAGATGGACACTTCACTACTTCATTAATAATCATAATATTAAATTAAAAAAGGAAGGAAAAAAAAAACATTGATGTATGTGGGTAACACGTGATCAAGCAAGTACTAGCTAGGCATCAATTATATCACATAGGGACAACTTTTTAAAGTACATTATCCGCAAACTCGAATTATCTAAAATTGCAAAAAATCATTATTTCAATTGTCCTTAAATATATTTATCGTGCGTTGTTCATTACTTAGCTTGGGTAGTTGGACTTTTTTTTTTTTTTTTTTTTTTTTTTTTTTTTTAATTCACTTTGAAGAAATATAACTTTACTTGGATTTATTAAAAAATTTATAATTATTATTCAAATATATACTTTAAGTAAAAACAAAATCAACTTAAATTGATCTTATAATCACTCACTTAGAATAGTAACAGAAGTGTCATGACATTACATAGTAATTGATATACATACCTAGTTTTAGTCTACTTTTGATTAAGATTATATTAAGATTTAAAGTATATATATTTAAGAGTGCATCAAGTTTGCCAAGGGCCGGGCATCTATGAGGTATAAAATGATAGGAAAAAAATTTAGCTACATTATTAAAAAACTGTGTCATCTTAAATTGGAAGTAGATAAATATATATATATATATATATATATATATATATATATATATATTGGAGTAGATAAAAAAAAAAAAAAAAAAAAAACGCATCTATGATGTTCACGTGCCAGTTAGTAGGCTAGCTACGTGTCTGCATATAGTTTGCCGGCACTACATGTGACATATTTTTTTTATGTGTGTGTGTGTATATGTATGTCGATCTATATATATAACAAGGTGTAGTGCATCTAATAATTACAAAGAGATAATAAAATTGATCGATTGGCTACTTTATATGATTTTGTTATAGTTTTCCCTAAAAAGTTTGAATCTCTATTTCAATGGTTCTTCTCACCCTGATCCAACAGAGATGATTTTGCTATAGTTGATGAGACTCTTGATTGTTTCACAAGTTATTAGTGTCCGATCAAGATACTTGATCAAGTAAGTCAAATTGTCTTATGAGTTATTTTTATTTTTAATTTGGTCATATATTTATAGGTTGTGGTTCATATTTAAGTTTTTTTTTTTTTTATAATTAAAATATCTACTTTTGATCATAGTATTATTATTACATGATTAATTTTGGTCATTTATTAACAAAACGGTTTAAATATCGTTAAATACATGGGTATTTTAATCTTTAATTATGATTTTTTTTTAAAAATAACATAAGAATGTAGCGATTTAACCTACTTTGTATGAAATATCTTTGTATTTAATAACATTTCAACGATTTTATTGATGAATGACTAAAATGATCGTGCTATAATAATACTATAACTAAATGATGATGTTTTAATAAAAAATGATTAAAAGTGGACTACCATATATAAATAAAAAATATATATAATTAACTCTTGTTCTATTAAATTATATTCAGTATACCCGTTGTAATTAATACATATTTGTTCAATACTATATAAATATAAATACAAAGCTAATTACATGCATACTCCGTTCAAATCAATTAAAATATCCAATTACACACTAAACAATAAGTCAATCCTAATCATTTACAAAAAAAAAAATAAATAAATAAATAAGAAAGCTAGCATAAATAATTACTCAGAATTCTAAAAACCGATCCCTAAATCTAGGGGTTTTGGTCCCAGCCTGCAAATTAAAGAAACAAGACAAAGAGACATTGGCAATTTATATCCTACACCACGGCATACATTGCACTATGCGTCTAAATGCAAAACGACGTCGTTTTAATTATTTTTTTTTTTTGAAATTTCCCGCCCCAGTGAACGGCAGTAGGTTTTTCTTTAAAAAAAACCCGCTGTTCAAGAATGTACATAATGTTATACTTGAATACACATAATGTTATACATGAATACATATAATGTTATAACAAAATATACATACTCTTTTTAAAAGATAATACACATAATCTAACATAATACATAATAAACATAAACTTTTAACATAGTACACATCAACTCTTAACATAATACACACAAATTTTCTGATTCGGATGTACATAATTGTATAAAAACAATGTACATAATTGTATAAAAAATACACATAACTGTATGAACCAATACACATAACGTTGTGAACGAATACACATAATCTCAGCAACTTCCTACCGCGCCTCCCAACACGACCCCAAAACGACGTCGTTTTGGGAGGCGCGCGGCGCACCGTGCTATGTGCGCCGTGGTGTAGGATATAACGATTGAGAGACATTATTGTCAAATGTAAATAGGCTGTATATGTTGGAATTTATCATTGAGAATGACAAAGGAACAGAAACAAACACATGCATGCATAGAAATGTTTTCTGGACATTATTGTAAAAGAAAATGCAAAAACACTAAATAAATACCTCCGAGATGAGTATTAAGTAAGTGAAACATAATTACATAATTCTTGTATCTGAAGGTTACAGGTTTAATTTTTGTTAATTATCAAATTTGTTGCGCCAGATCTATTTAGTGTGGGACAAAAAATGTTAATAATTGTTTGATGAATTGGGTAAGTCAACCATGAACTCGTGCTGTTATTGTCTTGATTATCAGTGGACACAACTGTATGGCACTGGAAATCTTCCCACTTATCCCCGCCAACTACTAAAAAACAAGAACATGGCAGGCAAGGCCAAATCTTACAAGAATATGCACACCAACTGTTTGTTAAATTTTCCCAGCTCGCTGCCTTTATTTGCTAGGCAGACAACACTTCACCCATCCTTGTCTTACATGTACTGCTTCAATACTAATTAGATTTGTGTTTGAAATTTGTCCGCACAGATTTAGCTCAATGATTCAGTAAACAATATTAAGTTACGGTAATTTACATTACTGTTAAATGTTTTGTCTGGTCACGATGTGGAGGGTCTTGAGTTGGGGATTTGTGGATTTTTTTTATCAATTATAAAATTTAATACTCCGTAATTAAGTTAATGAAAAATTTTATGTACACAAAAGCAAGTATATTAATATAAGAAGTAGGCATTGCAAAAATGTCTTATTTTGACCAAATAGACCACTAGTCCAAGTCAAATAGAAAGCCATTATAGCAACTCCTCCAAATTAATTAAGCTATAAACAGAATGTAGTAAATACACTAAGAAAATTGTATGATATCCTGGCCTTTTTTCCCCCCAATATAAGAAGAATAATAAAAATATAAAAAACAAAATAAATGACATGAACAAATTAAATATAATTAAATATGTAGTCATTTAGCTAATTCACAAACTATTTATGTACATGTTTGATGATATCATACTTAATACAATTGTAAATAATTTATAACAAGGAGTAAAACACGTTAAATCGAGTTTTAAATCGAACTTAAAATTTAACTTAGCATTGAG